AAGCCTTAAGAATGGATCAGAACGCGTCAGGAAATCCTAGAAAAAGGGGTCATCGCGTGCGTGATGAATTACATCGCGTGATGTAACTGCGTCTTCCCTATCGCACGCTGGATGCAACTGTGTCTTCCCTATCGCGTGCGTGATGCTGCACGATGTTGCATGTGATTATTTCAGTAGCTGCATGCTTTTGCTCCCCTTTTTACTAGATTTTCACTAAGTCCATATTTTTTCACACTTAGCTATTTTTCCTCATTCTTTTGTCTTTATTCTTCATTTTTTTTCTCCTCTTTAACTTGTTTTGATCCGTTTCTTTGGCCGAATTAATGCAATGACGGATTGTCATCACCAACCATGTCTAGGGGTCCCTAGTCTCCATCACCCTAATATTTTTAATAAAATCGAAATACCCAATAACCTAGACATACCCTATTATTAACCTAATTCGAACACTAGAAAATCTAAGTAATTTATAGAAAAGTATATAAATATGTGTGACACCCAGTTTGATGGTGTGCACATATAGACTTGTTTCTGGCCCAAATAAGCAGCTTTCTCAATCGAGAGTGAGTCACCTTGTCACAATGGGTGTCTTGCTACTATATTCTCTAGCGATTCGTAGTCTGATATATACTCATATCCTTTCGGACTACAATCGTATATGGGTTGTCTTTTGCTTTTGCAATGAACATAAATATTTTTAAAAACTCGAATTCTAAATTAAAAGTACATATGATTCTCGTAATTCATATCCATATAAATCAATTGGGGGTTGTAACACCCTAAACCCTGAAACTTATAAATAAAGCATTACACAGCAATCAAGGTGCCACCAACAAAAATCATTCAAAAACACATCAAGTGATTTGAAATTATGCACCAGGAAAACATTTTCAACACAACTTCAATGAATAATTTATCAACTCCAAAACAACAAAAGCAACAACAACTTTGAAAACATAATAACTCATATCCCCGATGTTACATGACCAGAGCAGTAAACCACTAATGTATTATAAAGCGAATAAAATAAAAGCGAAGAGTAGCTCCAACAAGCCACCTTCCAACACACAGCAACATGGATCACTCCTGAGTATCTGCAAGATGTCCATGGCGGACAACATGAAGCAAAGTGGGTGAAAACAAGATGCACATATTTGCAACCAATCAACATCATCATGAACAATCAACTAACATATGCCAATATGTATGCAATGTACTCCACAATTTACTGATTATGCAAGCAGTACCATTTATGAATACTCATGGTCATCTCGCTTTTGAGTCCCCACCATAGGACCAGAGCATACCAAGTCGTTACCATCACCATAGGCAACACTTCACTGATTCCCATCTAGAACCAGCTAATCGCTCCTAAATCCCAGCCATAGGACCAGAGCACACCACAACTGAACCGAAGTACGTACACCATGATGCATAACTCTCAATAACATGCATTATCACTAAAAGGTTCACCAAAATAATCACCATGCATATATTACCATTATGCACAACATCATTCACCATACACAACAATTAATCAATGTTACGACAATCAACCAACAACACCAAATAACTTCAACTCAACAAATGCATATTCATAAGAAATTAATCATGTTAATTCATTATAACATCAACACATCATTAGATAAACACAACAATTCTTTAATCGATCATACAAGTCATCACAAACATTCCTATAGTAAACATTATACTACAACTCAATTATTTCACCAAGCACTACTATGAGGTAGCTCTTCACGTTAACTTTCCAAAACTTTGAATGACGTCTCATTTGGACTTACGGAGCAAATGTTACAACCAAAATCGTCAGACAATGCAACAAAAGAAAAAATAATAATTTTTCACAATTTGGCCTAAGACAATTGATTGTCAAAGGGTGAAAATCGATTATCACCAAGGGGATTTTGCTACTGACTTCTCAAAATTAGAAATTAATCGGTTGATGCATAGGTGCAATCAATTTTCATGGTTTTATTTTTCAAAATTTACACTGATGCAATCGATTGCACTATAATGATACTCGATTGTCATCTTCAATTTTTCCAAAAATACTTTGGCGCAATCCACTATAATGATAATCAATTGTCATCTTCAATTTTTCCAGAAAACCTAGATTTTTGCACATGTTCTTCATCCCCCTTATCCCTAAACCTCCATACATGAACTCAATCAATTTTTCTCAAAATCAAGTGACTCAAAACATGAACTTAACAAAGAATCATATTATCACAACCATCAACATGTTACAACACATAATTCGTCATGATTCATTGTAATTAATCAACAAATGCAACAAAAATTTCATTACCAATCATGAACACAACTCAAGCATTTTAACATTCATCAATGGCAGAATTTTATACATGCATATTCATGGTAATTCAAATATAAATTCAATCATAGAAACACATGTATACATCAAATCAATTAACAATTCCAGATTTCCAACACAACAACAATTCATCAAAGCAAATCATGGAACCATAATGAGAGCAAGGACCTCTCTTCTCCACCTCATCATACAATACACACATATTGATATCCCTTTCTCCTCTTTATCTTAGATTTTCAACAACAATGACAATTCTAGCAACTCATATGGACTCCCTCTTCAAAACATAGCCCCCATTCCCAAAAGCTCTTGTTCTTCTTGCCTATTTGTTTTCACGTACTGATAAAAGTTCTCTTTAACCTAATTTTCTCCCAACTTTTAGAATTTATATGGTTCCAATTATTTTTTCCTAATCATTATTATTTTCCATCAATTTTTAACCTCTCTCCTCTCACCTTATACTTTCCTCAATTCACATAATTGGTTAAACTCTTCCTATTTACCAAATTTCTCATTTTATTAGCAAAAACACCTAACAGTATCTCAATTTTGGTATCCTGCAATTGTGTAATTCAATGGCGTGAAATCTCATGTTGATTTTAGGCTCACAGAAGACACCCCTTTTGCTGTTATGAAATCCAAACTAAATATTTTTTTGCAACACATCAACAACAAAAAGGTGGTTTAAAACAAGTATCGCCCACTATTGATTGATAATGAATGATTAGGTTCTCCAAGTTATATGGAGCACAAACCATTGATACAAAATAAAAGGGCTGATCGAGGTGGATGTGTCAGTTGCAAGATTTGTCAACATATTATCAAGATGTTAAAATGTCTTAAATCATCTAGTAATGTTTAAGTTTTATTCATGTTATTTTCTTGTTAAGTCATGTTAAGCAATGTGCATGTTAAGTTGTGTTCATCATGGTGTAATGTAATACTAATTTTCATCTAATGAAAATATTAAGATAAAATCTTAATAATATAAAAATAATTCGTTACAAAAAAGAAGAAGGAGGAACCTCCATATCAACACGAGTCACCACCTCCATATCAGCTACAACAGAAAGCTCTGTTTCAGCCTAAGAAGGAACTTCAATATCATCTTGAGGAGGAACCTCTATATTATCCTGATTTGTTGACTCAACATCATCAACAACAGAAGCATCAATCTCGACATCATGATCTTTGACTCGTCCAACTCCATCTTTTATATGCCGTTGAGGCGAGGTAATCGAGATTGCTCTATTCTTTTCCTCTAATTCTCACAATAACAAAAAAAAATACCATATTTTTTTTAAATGCATAAATGACTGTATTTATCGTCACTTTTGAAAAATATGGTTTCCAGCATGCGTTTTTACTAGCATCTTTGCAATTGTCACTATGCATGTATGCATTTTTATCAATAATTTTAAAAATGTCGATAAAAACACATGTAAGATACCGCATTTTTTTTAAAAACATGTAAAAAATTGGACTTTATCAAATATTTCACACATACCAATAAAAACATAGTTTTTGTGAAAAATCCAATATAATTCAAAATTATTGATTTAAATTCAAAAATTTAATTAAAAAAACGCTTACTTATAAATCCCATAGAAGCTTCGAAAATTAGGTAGAAATCAAACGTTTTCCAAAAACTGAAAATTAAAATTTTAAATGATAAAAGTTATAATTTCTAAAGCGTAATATTATGATAAAAGAGCTTACTTTGAGAGGGTGTTAACAAAAAAATGGGTGCCAAGTAATATTCTCCAATTCAAGTGATATATGGGCCCGTCGTTTCCCGGCCATCCATGCTTGTATTTAATTTTTAAAATAACAACAATAACACTATCTGACATGTATTCTAAATTCTAAAATTATATTTGATCTAATTATTTTACCTCTCTTCTTCTTACAAGAATAGGTTAAGCTAATAATATATTTGTGTAAAAAGCTTTTATTAATAATTTTTCTTAATCTCGTCTTTATAAACATTAGAAAGAAGAAAATTTTCAAAAATTAGTCAAGAGGATATTTTCCCAAATAAATGGGTTAATATATGTTTTTAATATTTACAAAATTTTGAATTTTTAAATTTACATCCTATATTTTTTATATATAAGCTAGTACAGAACTATGGACCAAAACTGAATAATATTTTACAGATTAAATTTATAAAAAAAAACTAATTTACGTGAATTATAAACATATTAAATTCTTGATAGATAGATTTATCTAATTTTTTTTATCATTAACTTTAATTTTGTTAGTAACAAAACTTATTTTTTAAAGAACGTTTATCAAACACATGGTCAATGTAAATTATTACAAAAAAAAATATACAGAGTCAATTAGCTCAAAGGGGAATGCACCAAAATGATAAGTATTTATTTAATGAAGTCTCTCCCTAGTCATAAGAGAGAAACTATCTTTAGAAAAGTCCTAATATATTTTGCAAGGAACAAAATGAAAGAATAATAACACAACATGCTAGCATGTCATTTATGTTCCATTAGGTGCTTCCCACGTTTGTTCCATCCTAATAACATATTCACAATATCAAAGTCTTTCTATATAAATAACACACATCAAAGTCTCTCTCTCATCACATTAATTAGAAGCCATACCAATTAGGAGTGTGAGAGATTCAAAAATGTCAAATTCTTACCTCCGATTTTTGCTTGTTTTAGTTCTTTACATAATTTCAGCCAATTCAGCTCAACCTTATGATGAAAACTATGATAATAATGCTGAGTTCACTCTTCAAGTTCCAACGTTAGATGAAACAAACTTGGATAATCTCTTATCCTTTGGTTACTACCGTAAAAGTTGTCCTCAATTTGAATCCATCTTGCAAAACAAAGTCGAAGAATGGATTAAGAAGGATTACACTTTGGCAGCTAGTCTCCTAAGGTTGCACTTCCATGATTGCTCTATTAGGGTTAGTACATAATATCAAACATTACTCACTATATGTTAGATAATACTTTAAAATTCATTTTTCTACTACATACACAAGCACTGTACACGACACTGATATTGACGCGCTGAGACTGTGTTGATGGTATAAAATTCGTTATATATTCATCTGAACATTTTTTTATGTGTTTTCTTAAAGGGATGCGATGGGTCAATTCTATTGAACCACAAAGGAAGTGAGAGGACAGCAGAAGCAAGCAAGACATTGCGAGGCTATGAAGTAATTGATGATATAAAGGCAGAGGTAGAGAAACAATGTCCTAAGACAGTGTCTTGTGCAGACATTCTTACAACTGTTGCAAGAGACGCCACTGTTGAATTGGGTGGACCATACTGGCCCGTCCCTTATGGAAGAAAAGATGGAACAATATCTATTGATAGTGAAACCGAAATTATTCCAAAGGGTCATGAAAACATCACTTCTTTGATTGAGTTTTTCCAATCCAAGGGCTTGAATGTTTTCGACTTGGTTGTTCTCTCAGGTAAACATCTTTTAAATTCATCGCATCAAAATTTGAATCAGGGTCCTGACTTCGCCACTGACTAAATAATACTGTAAATTTATTTAGGAGCACATACTATTGGAAGGACATCATGTGGCTCTATTCAATATAGGCTATACAACTACAATAACACAGGGAAATCCGATCCTTCAATCGATCCGAAATACCTAAACTTCTTGAAAAGAAAATGTCGATGGGCCTCGGAGTATGTTGATCTTGATGCAACGACACCAAAAAAGTTTGATCAAATGTATTATCTAAATCTCAAAAAGAAAATGGGATTGTTGTCGACAGATCAATTGTTATATTCTGATCAAAGAACTTCTCCATTGGTTTCAGCAATGGCTTCAGCGTCATCGGTTTTCAAGCACCAGTTTGCGGTTTCGATGTCAAAGTTCGGTGTCATTGATGTTCTTACTGGTGAGGATGAAGGAGAAATCAGAACCAACTGCAATTTTGTCAATGCTTATTAATTTAGTAATGATTAATTTGTTTTGTTTAAATTTTAATTTGTACTTTGATCTTGTTATGCCACTTTCTTATTTCGTGGAAATTATTATTTGAACTTGTTTATGTCATTTGATTTGATCTGCACTTTTATTTATGTTTTTCTATTTTTAATCTTCGGACAGTTGGACTAAATCAGTTGTTATGCAATTGACTTAACAAGTTGTGTTAAAACATGATTTAAGGACTTTTTAACAATATTTTAAATCTTTTTTTTTTTTGGTAAAAATGAATTTTAAAGGTCTTTTCGGCCATTCTTTTAAGTTGATTTTATTTTATTTGACCGATAATATAAATTAGGGGTGTTAAAAAATATGGTTAAAACCGATTCAGAACCAATTTTCTTTTATAAAATGGTTTAATTATATAAATTAATTAGTTTTTTTTTCTAAAATATGAAAAAGTCCAGTTTTATTTTTCAAATATGGAAAAGTCAAGTTTTTCGGAAATATGAAAAAGTCCGACCTTTTTTCAGAAATATGAAAAAGTTGAATTTTTTTGGAAATATGAAAAGTGGAATTTTTTCAGAAATATGAAAAAGTCGAGTTTTCTCGAAAATATGAAAAAGTCGAGTTTTTCTGGAAATATGAAAAAGTCGACTTTTTTCGGAAATATGAAAAAGTCGAGATTTTTCAAAAATATAAAAAAGTCGAAATATTCAAAAATATGAAAAAGTCGAGTTTTTCCAAAAATATGGAAAATTAGAATTTTTTCGAAAATATGAAAAAGTCGAGTTTTTTCTAAAATATTAAAAAGTCGAGTTTTTTCAAAAATATGAAAAAGTCAAGTCTTTTCGGAAATATGAAAAAGTCGATTTTTTTCGAAAATATGAAAATGTCAAGTTTTTTTTTGGAAATATGAAAAAGTCGAGTTTTTCGGAAACATAAAAAAGTAGAGTTTTCCGTAAATATGAAAAAGTTGAGTTTTTTCAAAAATATGAAAAAGTTGAGTTTTTTCAGAAATATGAAAATATCGAGTTTTTCGAAAATATAAAAAAGTCGAGTTTTTTTCATAAATATGAAAATGTCGAGTATTTCCGAAAATATGAAAAGTCGAGTTTTTTTGGAAATATGAAAATACAAGTTTTTTCATAAATATGAAAATGTCGAGCTTTTTTAAAAATATAAAAAAGTAGAGTCTTTTCATAAATATGAAAAAGTCGAGTTTTTTCGGGAATATAAGAAATTCAAGTTTCTATCCGGAAATATGAAAAAGTCAAATTTTATCGGAAATGTGAAAAAGTCGAGATTTTTCGGAAAATGAAAAAGTTGAGTTTTTTTTTTCAGAAATATGAAAAAGTCGAGTTTTTTCAGAAATGTAAAAAAGTCGAGTTTTCTCGGAAATATGAAAAAGTACATTTTTTTTCGGAAATATGAAAATATCGAGTTTTTCGAAAATATGAAAAAGTCGAGTTTTTTCATAAATATGAAAAAATCAAGTTTTTTCAGAAATATGAAAAACACGAGCTTTTTCATAAATATGAAAATTTCGAGTTTTTTTCGGAAATATGAAAATGTAGAGTCTTTTCAGAAATATGAAAAAGTCAAATTTTTTCGAAAATATGAAAAATTCAAGTTTTTTTCGGAAATATGAAAAAGTTATGTTTTTTGAAAATATGAAAAAGTCGAGATATTTTGAAAAATGAAAAAGTCGAGTTTTTTTTCAGAAATATGAGAAAGTTGAGTTTTTTTTCCAGAAATATGAAAAAGTCGAGTTTTTTTAAAAATATGAAAAAATAGAGTTTTTTTTTAAAATATGATTTAATCATGTTGTCGAAAACAAGTCTCGACTACTATCAAACCATGTTAGTCTCTTCCTTGTACTTCTGGGATGATACCCATTACACTTTCCATCTCCCCTGTGGGATGATGACCCCCGCGCTTTTCGACGTAGCTGCTATTACAGGGCTTAAACCCACCGGAAACCCATATGATCCTGACTTGGAATCTGATGATTCCATAGGTTTTAACTCTGCGAAAGCCACCTATTCTCATTTTATAACGTACTTTTTCGACAAAACTACTACTGATGTTTCTGATCGAGAATATATAGCTTTTTTAACTGTGTGGCTATCCCACTGCATCTTCTGCTCGAAGTCCTTTCAAGTGGCTAGGAGGTACTTGACTCTGGCCACTCAACTCCACAAAGGCCACGACGTCTGCCTAAGCGAAGTGATCCTGAGGAACCTTTACGAGTCTCTAAGTGAATGGGTAGCCCAACTCAAAGACTTAGGAGCAAAGGGAAACCTGCTACTGTCTGGTCCTTTCTGGATTTTGCAACTTTGGCTGAATGCCTTGTTCGAAGCCAGCCTCCCTAACAAAAATTCAGTTGATGAAGCTGCTGACGATATCAGAAATAGGAGAATCGAAGGAACACGCTTGGTCCAGCTTACTCCCAACAAATAAGGACAAACCCTCGGGCTAATGTTCCTAATCTATGTCATGATGTTTGCGAAACTTCATGAGCTTACTTCGAACATGGCCCCATTCGCTGCAAGAAAACATGGTCCTAAATGGTTCACTAGACCTTTCCCAACTCCAAACAAAGCTCTAGAGGCATAATCTTCATAGATCTAGGAAGCCTTCTTGATCCCAAGGTTGATAACACTTCGACTGAATTTGTCAAAGTCTCAAGTTGCTTTGGTTGCTTATCAACTAAATTTGGTGGCTCGACAGCTCGGTTTGGTCCAAGCACTCCCCAAATGCCTCTTCGAAAAGAAAGGTGCTCTTCTACTTCATAGTGTGAAGTATACTGAGGAAATGACTTTGACACACCTTCTCTGATATTCCAACAAAGCTCAACTCGTCCCCATTGGCTTCGATCCCTGTTTCTACTGTACCCCAGAGTTCAACCACTAGCGGTCAATATACTACGCCGAAGAATTCTTTGATGCACCTTCTTTTACTCAACTTATTAATCAAGCTTTCCTCTCTGTGCAGGAGAAGATCAAGAAAGGTACTATGACACACATCAAAGAAATCCAAGCATTCCAGAAGTACTTTGAAACTGTTTATCGACCAGATGATCTTAGTCGAACCGTCTGCAAGAGGAAAAGGTTTTAAAGAAAATGGAGAATTTGGAACTCCCTTCGTTCGTTCCTCCCAAGGAACGGTGCGCACTGGATTTCAAAAAATTTCCTATTAAATTTCCTCGATTACCAAATTCTGATTTTGGAGTGGCCCTTTCCCCTTCATTTCCAGACTGGTTTATCTGTGGGGATTCCATAAAGATCCTTCGTCAGCAGTCGAAACCGAAGGCTCAACGGGTGGTTGCGACTAAGCATACTCTAGACAGTTTCAAAGGTCCTCTTCATATCGGCATCGAAGATGTTCGCATCGAATCCAAATATATGAAGGTGTGGAATGGGAGGTTTTTGAACTAAATTCCCTTATTTGGATTTTTATCATCTTACTTGTACTATTTTGTTTGACTTTCAACTGTTAAATTTGCCCCAAAAAAGAAGAAGAAAATCGAAGAACAGACAAAAGAAAGCACTCAAGATGCTAAGGTAAATTTCTTACTTAATTCTCCTTGATTTCAAAATCTCACGTTGTCTAATGCTTCAAGTTTCTCAAAGTTCTCGAAGGCCACCACTTACTCCCAAGAAGCAAAAATTGAGGGGAGCTTCCCACCAGATCATCATCGAGTCAGATGAGGAGGACCAATCTCCTCCTAAAGAGAAAACTTTGAAGTGGAGGAGGAAGCAAACCAAAATAACTGAAGCCTTCAATCAACCAAAACGAAAGGCTGGTAAACTCTCGACAACAGCAACTCCTGCTAGTCACACAACACGGACTGAAAACGACAATTCTAGTCCTGGGGCTGATGAGCCTAAGGTAAAAACTTCTCCTACAACTTTGTACAGTTTCTTTATCATTTACTCCTCTAATTCTTTGCCTTTTTCCTTTATAGGTTACCACCGATACTAGGGGTCAACCCATGGTGAAGCAACTTATCCCGACAACAAGTAGTGACCCAAGTTACCATCCAACAACTCCTTCGGGGGCCTCTGCGAAAGGCTCGACAAAAGGTTATGAGGAGGGAATCCAATGTACAGATGCTCTCAAGTAGACGCCAGTCATTCCTGTGGTGGAATTCCCTCACATCAAAGCATCTACTCCAAAAGAGGACCTGGTCGAGAAAGAGATTGTTGATCTTTCTGGGGACACTGTGATACCTGACACAGAGTAACCTGCTGAGGGTGATCTCGAGGAACAACCAAGTGAGGATGAAAAACTCGTCGAAGAGGAAGAAAACAAAGGGGGAAGAAGATGAAGAAGATGAAGATGAAGAATAAGAAAATAAAGAAGAAGAAGATGAAGAAGGAAAAGAAGAAGAAGAAGAAGAAGAAGAAGGAGAGCAAACTGCATCTGAAGCAGAGATTAAGGTGGAGGTTCTTGAAGGCCAATTGAACCAAAACAACCAATCCAAGGATCCTCCAACCAACACTTCGACCGACACTCAATCGACCAGTCTTTCCCATGAATAACTAGAACCTTTGAAAGTTCAGCGACCACTGGAGTACTTAAAGGCTATGCTGCGTTCTTAGTATAGCTTTGGCTACAAGAGTACTACTACTTTGATTGCCTCAGGGAACACCCTAATTGGGAAAACTAACAGTGACTTGCTGGCGCAGATAAAAGAAAAAATATTTGCAGTAGACTTGTTTCGAATCCTGGAACAAGATGTTTCTGCCAGCTTTAGTCTTAAGAAGCTTCTGAAACAAATTAATGTCTTAGAAGTTTCCCCAGAAGTGGCTAATATCATTATGGAACTGAGCATGATGATTGACCTAGTTGTCGCTGACCTCAACTTCCTTCGAGACTTCTCGAGCAACCTTTCCAAGAAAACTGGCAGTCAAAAAGTTGCATGGGAGGCAGTCTCTGTATCCACTGAAAAAGTTTTGGCACTTGAGAAACTCTCTGAGCAGAATAACAAGGAGGTCAAAAAGTGCGACAGGAGAATT